TGGATGATTACTCGGTTAGTGGACAAATTACAGTGACTTTTATAGACCGGCAAAACTAGATTGGAACTTACTTGAACCGTTCCTAATGATCATACTAAGATCAATAATAAATTATTCTGCTAATGGAGGCGTTTTTATAATATGTAAAGGTTGGCAATATTCGGATGGAAATTCATAAGGCAATCATTAGGCAATGACAAAATAAGGTGAATGAAACTACTTCAGTTTTTATTGAAGTCTTCACGATCCAAGCTATTTCAACTGCAAGCCCGCCACGTATCAGTAGCATTGTTATCATCATTCCAGTCCCACGCCAGAATCTGAACGGTCAATGAAAGTTGGTGAATGAGCATGGATGAGATGAATGATGCCATGGGAAACCCATATAAAGGCTGAGTCAAAAACCGCTATACAAATAATCTGAAAACTCATATCCGTGCTTAATATACATCAGAAAAATTGTCTATGAATAAAAATGATAGCAACCCAACCTAGAACCAAAACCATTTGTGCTTGTCGAAATTTTCAATTTAGTGCAGCAAATAAGTAATACGGAGATAAATATAATCGATCGTTACCAAGATAACGTGACACCAATTCTTGATTCCTTACTGAAATAATCAAGTAAAACCAAGAATGGCTACAACCAAAAAGTGATGAAATTGAAAAATAATATTCTACTTCACAACATTTTGAGATATTCATGGCTACAACCAAAAAGTGATGAAATTGAAAAATAATATTCTACGTCACAATTTTGAGATATTCAGAACACCGCTGACACCGGTTCAAGAATCGATGCCATCGCAGGGCATCATGATTAATTCAACTGACTAGTCTGGGGAGTGCGTGACCAGCCTGCCTACCGAGCGATGTTGTGAAATACAAAAATATTCACATCTTCATCTTAAACAAGAATATTATACGCATGAAACTGAATTTCAATAATTTTCTACAGAAATATAATTAATATATTATAGGGTTTTAAAAAATCATGATGCATGAAAACTAAATGTAAATATCTTTCGATTTAAATATAATTAATGTAGTGGAAGTTTAGGATTTTAATTTAGCAATCTCATTTATGGAAAAAAAGGCGCTATTGTGATCGTCATGTCCGTCCGTCTGTCTGTCCGCCTGTCCGTCTGTCCGTCCGTGACCACGTTTTCGTCGACGAGCAAATGCGCTCTCTGTCACTCACTGCAGTGAGTATTGAGTTATCTTTTTCTTAATTTGGGAACATCGTGTGAATTCGCTACTTGTCTCATGGTTTCAGTATAATACCAAATCTCTTGAGAAAAAGAAGCGAGATTACATTTTTTGAAGTAAATATATAAGAAAATGCGCTCAGACAGCTTCCATGCCTAAAGTATGTTTCGTTTCAATAATGAAATAATATAAGCTTGTACCCGACTTTTGTCTTCGTTATCCTTCGCTCGGTTCATCAAATTCTTATGGAATTCCAGCACTGCAGCCTCAGCAGAGCTGGCTTGATTTGCTGCAGTATATGGTATATATATATATGCATATATTTGCTGTAGCATATAGTATAGCGATGTCGGCGATAATAAAGGAGCCTGGTGTGGCCTGCTATATATGCGGACTGCAGCCACATATGTGCCATATATGTGGCCTGCACTCCTATTAGGCACTTATATGCTCTCTGCTCCAGTTAAGAGTTTCGAAAAACATCAATGCAGCTTTGAGATATTTCTCGTCACTAGCTCTCAACTTTAACATACACAAACTAGCGAAAAATTGATATTTATATAAAAAACAGTGGTTTGATACTAATATTTATAATAGGTTTTTTGAGCCTAGAAATTTGCTTAAATTGCCAGAGTGTAATTGAAAAATGAGCCCAAATGACTGTGACTGTAAGAAATGAATATTTTCTCATTTGATAACGTCTCTTAGTGGATGTGCATTATAACGCTTCCTCAAATGTTTCATTCTCAGGAGCAAAACTGAGCCTAAAAGAAATTTCATTTCATTTGTGTGAGGCACAAATCAATTCATCTAACACCACGAAACTATTTGAAATCAATTAATCAATTAATGCCAGTCACAATAGACGGAATTTCAACTTTTTCAGTTTTTACCCGCGTTGCACATCGTTTCTAAGGGAAAAGTGGATTATGAAAATTTCAACACTCCAGGAAAGCGATGCAGAAATTTGACATGTAAGGAAATTTTTAATGTAAAATGATAAGGTCAGTGGCAAATCATAATCATCAAAAAATTATTTGCATGGATTTCCAAATTACTCATTTTGCTTCAAAAATTGCAATAGGTATTAATCTTTGATGATCCAGCCACTAAATGTTTTGGAGTGCATTCGCAATTTAAACAATTGCATTAATTGCAATATTCGAGTTCAATTTGTTTAACTGTACCATGAATTTTGAGCGAATAATCTCATGAATAACTAATATAGTAGTGATCTAAAAAGTAATTGACTATTTTATAAATTTTCATGCCTAAATTTTGAGTTATTTATGCATTGAAAACCATGTAAATATTTTAAGAGAAATTATTTAGTGATATTTTTAGTTGGGTTTGAAGAATCACGCAAGGCTTAAACATGTCTACCAGAGCCAGCGAACAAATTGTAGGAGTCGGAAAGATCACTAAATGAAAGAAAGCTTTCTTTCCGTGAGACTACTGGATATGGAAATCCCAAGAAGAGATAACGAAGGGTAAGAAAAGGTAATTGAAACCATAGCGTATTGGAGCATTCCAAACACGATATAACTTTGTCATAATCAAAAATTCTCGATGACTGTTTCCGATTTCGTTCTTAGTTTATCGATTCTTACCTGAAAAATGTAATACTTTGAATCTGCATAACTATGTAGGAGAGTAACAATAAGAAGCGAAACATAGCACTTTAGAATTTGCAACAGTTATTGTTTCAAGCGCATAGCCTTTGATCGAAGTAATCTCTTCTGCCGTTATACGGACTATTAATTTTTTAAAAAGCTGCATTATTACATCGCGAAATATTACCTTTCTTGCTATTTTTATATTTATAAATATTACCTTTTTTACCCATCGCGAAATATCACCTTTATTGCTGGTTGAACACCAACAAGTAATAATTTGAGATCTAATTATAATTATGATAATATAACGGAATATAAACTTTTCCGAAGCGTTGTAATGTGTGTTTACAGTACATTCTTTTAGAGATGCGTTCAGGTTTTTTTTTGTATTTGCAAATAAATAATAAAATTTTACATGTAGTTCTACATGAAATCCTATTCCCCGAACACATCCTGCGTCAATTCACGATCAAATCGCATCACGTCCTTCATATCCTGATCAGCCGTTTTTCATAAATGAATCACACACCGGTTACAGCCCATCCTACACCGTTGCCACCCATTTAGCCGCACTCAACCGTTTCATCAAATAAATCCTAACCCGTTACCGCCCATTTAGCAGCGCTCAACCGTTCTATCAAATAAATCCTACCTCGTTACCACCCATTTAGCAGCGCTCAACCGTTTTATCAAATAAATCCTACCCTGTTACCATCCATTTAGCAGCGCTCAACCGTTTTATCAAATAAATCCTACCCTGTTACCACCCATTTAGCCGCACTCAACCGTTTCATCAAATAAATCCTACCCCGTTACCACCCATTTAGCAGCGCTTAACCGTTTTCTCAAATAAATCCTACCCCGTTACCACCCATTTAGCAGCGCCCAGCCGTTTTATCAAATAAATCTAACAAAACAGTCAGGTTCTTGTTTGCTCGACACTCATTGGCTGAAAGGAAGCTCAGCCCCGACAGATTGTGTCAATATTTTAATGTGGCTGCACATACAAGCGGTCCAGCATATTGATCAGATGCGAATAAGATAATTATTTAATGTGAAAAAATTATTTTTCTTTCTGTTTATTGTTTTTAATATTCCTATGATTTTTTCTGTGATTTATTATTTAAGATAATTAATGCAATGGTGACTAATAAAAAAATTGTAATATTCAGATGCGAATTATTATTCGTTGAGATTGGTCGCCATTCCCAAATATATTCATGAAATTGAATGGAGAATACTTTATAGTCAGTCTAAAGTGACCATTGCTTGGAATGTTGCTCGAAAACATTTTAATAAATGCATTGGTTTATCTGTATTTTCTTATTTAATAATTTCTTAAACTTTAATATTCCATAGAATGAATATTTAATTATTCCTTTTCGATCTTTACTTAAGTACGGTGACCGCACCGTACGACTGCATCATCATAAAAGTTACCTTCTCTTCAAGGTAGAAAAATACTCATACATAACTGTAAATACTCGATACGAGTACTCGATAATAATATGCAACCTGTCATTTGCTCAATAGTATAGCTTAAACCAATTAAACTTTTTTTCCGATTTTGATTAATTTTGTTTTCGAACTTTTCTCAATACAAATTTTGCTCTAGAATTTTCATATTTCCTAAAATATCCCATTAAACGCATAAATATTTCTGTTTACCTCAGAAGTTGATGAACGCTCGGAATAATTTCTAATACGACTTTTCACTTCATGTTCAGGACTTGTCAGTGCTGCATGAATGCCAGTAAATATTAAAAAATATATAATTCATTGCAAATGTTTTCTTTGTTATGCATTGAAAGAGCAAAGTCTTCATTGCACTAACGCCTGGACAGTAAACGTAAACTTATCTTAACTTTCGTAGACTTGTGATATTTAAGCATTCCTTATTAAAAACAGAGGCAACATTTACTTGCAAAGTTTCAGCTAAAAACGTAAACGTCCAATTACTTGATGCGCTTAAAATTGCATGCAGAATTTAGCTCTCCAATCTAACTCTCTATGTTTGGTTTTCATTTACGAATGTAGTTTATGGTATGAAATAATTTAGTTCTTATACACCAGATTTTTAGCAGCAAATTTTCAGATCTCTTAAGCCAAATCATTTACAAATATTTATTGAATGGTTGGAGACAGAAAAAAGTATTAGAACCAACCGGTACTTACCCTGCATGCGACGATGTGAAAGCTTTGCTGCAAATCAACTGTTCATATGTTTACAAAATCCTCAAATCTAACGCACGTTTTATAACACTAAAGAATCATTCATCGAAAACGCGTACGCAAAAATAGTCTGATCTCTGGGCAATAATTATTACATGAGTTACTACCACAGTCTTCCTTGCAACAATAATTTTATGTCGCAATACTTTTTAATATCAGTAATATCCTGAACGATTGATCTGATTCCAGGGGAAGCTTTAACAAAAGCTGCAGGGCTGAGTCAGCAAAAAGCAGTGAATAAATAGCCCTGACAGCGACACTCTTCGTATCCCGTCTATTGTCTGTAGTGACTGGAGCGAGCAAGACACGCACACACACTCAGACAACTTGAAAGCAACTGATGGGTGCTGGCTCGCTCCCCCCTATATATAGTCGATGGCGAACACCGACACCCTCTTGCCCTCAGGCTTTCATCTCGAGAGGGAAATGCTTGATGACCCGATGTGCGATGCACAAAATAGCAAATTCGTTTTCCATAGTTGTAAATTATTTTAACTCTAGGAAAACGATCTGATGAGCAAACTACCGATTAGTTTAATGGTTTTCAACGGATAGGGATGGTTAAAAAATTAAGATAAATGAACTTATGCAATAATTGCGCTATCACTTGCAATAAGCAACAGGTTTTCCTTTATGTTGGGTTGCTACAAGTTAACGTGTCTCTAAAGTTAGTTAAATACTGGTGTCAATGTCCGTAGACTAAAGTGCAGTCAGTAAACGCTAAGGGGAAGGTGCAAAATACATGCGTTCTTTGTTTCACTGTTTGACAATGAGTTCGGATTCAGAAAACGTTAAAGGTGCTAATTAATTTTTAGTCTTTCACCGCGACACTCTATGGTTGCTTTTAATTTATAAAGTTACCAACTATTCATGTTACCAAACAGCCAAGAATGTAAGAATAAGGAAAATTTTAAGTTAATTCAACTTAATTTTTTATTTAAACCGGTTAATAATATGAATAACTCAATGGAAATTTCTTTAACTCAACATTGTACGTCAAATGATGAACATACAAAATAACTAAATTCTTTAACATAACATTTTACGTCAAATGATCAATATACATGCAACTAAAATCTTTATACAGACATTGTAAGTCAATTTACCAATATACAAGAAACTAAAATATTTAAATCAACATTGTAAGTCAAATTACCAATATACAAGAAACTATAATCTTTAAATCAACATTGTAAGTCAAATGACCAATATACAAGAAACCAAACTCTTTCAATCAACATTGTAAGTCAAATGACCAATATACAAGAAACTAAAATTGTTAAATCAACATTGTAAGTCAAATGACCACTATACAAGAAACTAAAATTGTTAAATTAACATTGTAAGTCAAACGGCCAATATTAAAAAAAACTAGCCTCGTTTTTTTGGCATACGTCTTTTTTTCCAGTAAAATTGCATGCACTCGCGCAGCAGACTAATGGCGGCTGCTGGGCTTAAGCGGCGGTCGTTACCGCTACACTTGAATTGTCACGTTGCGATAGATGAGGTCATGCACACGTCGCCTTTTATTTACCCTAGAGACTACATTTTTAGAATTCGGTTCCAAGCACAAACATTATAATAATTATGTCGCACAATTTTCAGGTATATATTTTGTTAATAATAGTATTATGTAATTTAGATGAAGTTAATAGAAGTCCGATATCTGTCTGACAAGAAACGCAGGATCTTAGAATTTTCTTCCGAGCAGGAACGTACAAATATGTCTAATATTTCTTTATTGAACATATTTTGTTAATAATGGGATCATATTATTTATATTTACTTAATGGCAGCCAATCGTGCATTAGAATTTTGTTTTCACACGACATGATGCAACAATTGAGGAACGGAACGAAGTAACCATGAAGCGAAGCGTTTTAGTGCATGTCGTGCGCAAACAAAAATTATCTTTATAATTATTAATTAATTATAATTTTAGTAATTACGTGTTCGACTAAAACATTGGTTGATAATGTGGTTAATACGTTAGGGTTTTGCACAATAAAACGTTGATATTTGACTTCATACACCTTGCTCCTTATTCCTTAGATGCAACCTATTTTTATTGAGGTATCAAAGTGCTTATTAAATGATTGAAATACCTTCATATTACTGAATATTTAAACGTAGAGCTTAAGTTTAGAGCTATTATATTTCACTCAGAGAAATGAATAGAACATTTTCCAGATTCGAAGCGCTTTTGTTTTCTTGTGAGTCATTTTGACCCAGTTTGGCCCGACATAACAGCGTATTAGTTCTAAGTCCGCTCCATGCACGTGTTATGGGTAAAAAAGTGTGTCAAAAGACTCATTTATTTTTATAGGAGTTGAAACTTTGAATCTAATTTCGTGTCGAGAAAGAATTTCAACCCCGAATATTTTGGTTAAGTTAATTTCATCGAGGAATTTGATTAGAAAAATTCTTCAGGTGAAATGAGGGATGGAATTTGGTAAGAAAATAGTATAGTGATTTGTAGATTCAAATTACTTAAAGAGATTTTGTAATCCTGATTCTCAAGTTATCATCCATTCTTCAACATACATTTCACAACATGTTATGTAAATTGCAATTAGGAAGCCAAGGTCTCTGACGAATTTTTCATTTAAATACACGTTATTTTCACAGTATAGTATTCTTGTAGAGTTTCAGTGTAATGCAAAGGCTATAAAGTTAGACACCAAAATACATTTTAGCTTTTCTACTCGGCTACGCTTCCGAAAAACACTTACCATGGAGTGAAAAGACGCATACTAATCAAACCCTCTCTCAGGAAAATTACTGAGTCTCGTTGTCTAAACAGTGACACACTTTCTAGCCCACAACACGTGCAGAGAACGGACGTAGCACTGATACGTCCTTTTACCGGACCACACTCTGTCAGGATGACCCACACACAAGCAAGAAGTGCATCGTTATTTGGACAAAGCCTAAAGTTTCTATGAGTGTCGCCAACGCCATTACCATGCATGGACAACTGCGCTACAAAGCCACGTTAGGCGCAGTGAGCGCACCTGTTTGCTTGTGCAGTCTTCACGGTTGGCAGGCTGCAGTTTAGGAAGCTTCCATGCCATCAGTAAACTTTTTATTCAATACCATGCCAATCAAAAAATTAATTGTACAAAATAATTTTCTTTCATCATTTGTCTGTTAAAATTGCAAGTTCCCCAAGAATTTAAAATCCACGAAAACGACAAGTATATTTACCTTATCTTCACCAGCAATTTTTATAAACATTATATCTTTCATAACCATTATATATTATATCAGAGTTTTTATTGTCTGTCCTACCTTTCTTCATACCTCATCTTGTACATTATTTTCTCTTGATGCGTCATGTCATAAAATTGAAAACTATAATAGATACCATTGTGAAAAATTTTACATTAATTTTTATTCTTCATCGATTGATCATTTGCTATTTGCTAATGCAATTGAGTGAAACTTTAAAATTATAATTTGTTGGAACCACTCATTTATAGTTGGTTCAAGTAAAAAAGAAACGAATCACGGCCATATAAAAAATTGTATTGTCTGAGTCTTCAATTTTTAGCATTCGGGAGAGAATTAAAAAAAATGAAAGCCCTTCAAAATTATAATTTCCACAAGCCCAACCACAATGCGAGTTCTTTGTAAAGAGCACTGCAAACCACATTAAACTAAACTCAATCCATTTAACGCGTATCAGACCATAAGATTCCAGATAACGTCTGCTTCTAGCGTATTAGAAAAATTTCTACTCTTGCGTAGAAATAAAAATTGGCCTCAAAAATCCCTCAAACAATTTAAATGCATGCAAGCGTTTTATTAACGGTCATCAAATATTTACTTATAGCAAAGTCCTTTTCATGTATAATATTCATTCATTTCACGACTATATTCAATGGATGTACTGGAAAAACATATTAATTTAAAAATTCAATATAAATAAAAATAAAAACGTAATAAATCTTCCTTGATTTAAACACCAAAATTAAAGAGCATAGGAGTTATTTTCGATGGATTTTGGGTAAGAAAAAGTATATATTATTGAGCCTAATCTGTATAACAGCTATAAACGTACATGATTTTTATTGAAGTGTAAATACATTGGCGACTTTTTATAGAAATTGCAACTTCTGATGAAGAATGGATACATTTTTTAAACTTTTACTCCCAAATAATTCGCATTATGTCGCTTATGACACCTACATTACATGCTGAGACAGTTTATTTTGATTGTCATTGTTCTGGTGCTTTCCAATTCCTCTATTTTAAAATGAGCAAAAAGTAATTACTAGTGAACGACTAGTATTATTGTAATGTGAATTATTGAATTTTTATAAAAACATGGCGATGAGTTACATGAGTAACTAGATTGAAGATGACTCAAAAAATGAGTTGAATGTAATTAAATGCTGAGAGACTCGAATCAAGTTTCTTTAAATCAAGGTGAATCATCGGTTGCTCAGTGTGGAATTGAATTGTAGTCGTTGTGCCTTTAAGTTCTGTAGCAGCGTAAGCGTGTAGCAGCGCAGCTTTGTTTCGATGTAGCTGTGTTGCGGCGCAGCCTTGTAGCCGTGTTGCAGCGTGACTTTGTGTCGGGTCGATGTAATTGTGTTGCGATGTTGCTGTGTAGCCGTGTAGCCTTGTTTCCGTGTAGCAGTATAGCAGGGTTACCATGTAGCTGTATAGCAGGGTTACCATGTAGCAGTATAGCAGGGTTACCATGTAGCAGTATAGCAGGGTTACCATGTAGCAGTATAGCAGTATAACCAGGCTAGCCTAAGATAGTCTTGCCGTCGTCCTGCAGTGTTAAGGCAGTTTCGCGGTCGCGGGGCTCAGCGGTGATCTCATAAGGAAGGCGCAGTGCAAGGGCTTCTTCTCAACAGTCGCAGTCCAGTTAAAGTACTCCCTGAAGATGAATATAACCTAACTCAAACTGGAATATTTTCTAAACCTGCACCACCACTATAAATAATAATTTATGTTATTAAAGTCGTATTCAAGTTTATATTTTTATTGAAATAAAAATCGTCTATCAGGAAAAAAACATGCAGTTTCTTAAATTTGCTGGAGTACATTTGATATTCTCAGAAATTTATGCAAAAAAAAACATAACATTCATGTAAACACTCTAATAAATGACATATTTTAATTTGTCCTTTCAATATGACATTTAATATCTTGTCTATAGTGTGAGAAAACTATTAATTTATTCCCCTCAACCATAAAAAAGGGAATGAATTCAAGAAGTTAATCAAGGTTTCACTCAAATCTCACACACGATAACCGCTCTGCATTTTGTCGTATGGATTTTGTCTTTAGGTTTCATCAAA